TGAGTCTCACTCAATGAGCTTCTGAGAGGTTCAGTAGAACACTGAGGCGTTTTGAGTCTCTCACTGAATGAGCTTCGGAGTCCATTGAAAACACCGTGTAGTGGACGGCCTTTAAACAAGACAATTGTTTTTAACTTGGCCCTTGTCCTCGTTTCTACAGTGACCTCTAGTGAGTCTGGGGTTAGGCCAACCACTGAGCCAGCCTCTCTGATCATCTTATTGATCCTGTTTTTATCATCCGCAGTGATGCCCCCCCCCCCCCAGCAGAGCACAGCATGAAAAAGAACACAAGCCAAAGATCCCCTGATAGAAAACTTGAAGAAGCTTCCTGCTGATGTCAAATGATCTAAGCTTCCTCAGGAAGAAGAGTCTGGACTGAGCCTTTTTAATACAGCATCAGTGTTCTTCCAGTTTAATTTACTGTCCAGATAGACCCCGAGATATTTATGGGTCATTGACAAATAAGGCTTCTAAAAAGGTAATTTTAAAAATTATCTTCAAAATGGATGTAATGCATATTTTTGTGTCTGGAAAAATGTGGTGAAACAAGTCTAAGTTGTGAACCAACTATTCATAGTATTTTAAATCGTTTTTAACAGTATTTTTTAACTTCACAGGCTAAAAAATGTGAGGTGGCACAACCACATAATTATAAAAAAATATATATTTTCCTAATATTTATTCAAACTGAAATTTTTGACAAGTATCCCTTAGAGTGTCTACTGTGTAACACATCGTATTTTGTGGTTGTGTTTTATATATATACAATAATTTATCATAATTGCGTTCTCTTGGCCAGGTATTTAGTATATTTAACATTTAAACATTTAAACATAATAATACAAATATACAAATGAATACATTCAATACAATAGTTCTTCACATCATATTAAGCAAAAAAAATTCACTTTAACCTATTATTTACTGCTTTAAATTAATATTTTACCTGGTCGCACCACCATGACATTTATCAGTTGTGCCACCTGACAATATTAGTAATCACAGCAAATATGCAGAAAATTTGCATTTTTTTTTCAAATACAACAACATGCTTTTAGTCAACAGACTCTTTTTAAGTAAAATAAGTAAATATTTCATAGTAATCATGTTTAGCACATAACTGGAACAGGCAAAATCACAGTCGCTTCCGCCTGCGTGTTGCAGCTTCTACCTCATTGTAGCAGCATTTTGCACACACTCCATACAGGACTTGTTGTCTGCTCCCTGCGTCCTGCTGGTTTTGATTTACTTGACAGTGGCATCCTTAATAGTTAAACAATATTCATTAATATCATGAAAAATAGTTTGAAAGTGTATAATATCGTTAACTTAACACTGTGAAACTTTTGTAAAAAATTGTAAATAATGTACTAAATATAATATCAGAGTAACATTCTCTGCAGTTGCACCACCTGCCTTACTGGTTGCACCACCTGACATTTGCAACTGATTTCAAATGAAACAGGCATCTACTAGAACACTAGCATTAGCTTTTGTTCTTGCTAACAACTTCATACATATACATTTTAAACAGAATAAAGACATTTATGATAAAATAACATTGTTATAGTTTTACATTGGTTGTACCGCCCTGACATGGAAAGTGAACCACTCTACCTATAAGTTGAAAGTAGCTGTTTTTATCAATATTCAAAAGAGATATAAAAACGTTTTCACTCTACTATAAAGGTCAGTTGAGGCCCTCTTGATGATGCAATATCCTGTTTACTGTTTTCCAATTTAATTTCATAATAAAAGTCCCATCTTTACAGCTGTGCCACCCTGATATTTGAGAACATTCAAATTGCTGGACAAAAGCTTTTAAATTATCACAACAGCTTAAAACTATTGGTATTTGTATGAATGTGGTTTATTTGAATCGTTTCAACAATAAAAGCATGCCATAGTATTTTATTTTGAATTTATTATTGTTTCAATACCTTTTTTAACAGTTTTCTTAGTCTGTTCATCTGCTAGGACAGGTGCACCGCCTGACATTTACAGGGTTTGAGATGCCAAAACATCAAATAATATATATTATTTGATTGTACTGAAAATGTGTCAATACTAGATAGGTTTTATAGAATGAAATGATATATGTCACAAATTGATACAATTATTTTAAAAGGATAGTGGACTCAGACACAAAAATATGCATGTCATGTCATTGACGCTTATACGACTGGACAATTTCTATCTGCTGACCTGCATTTGTCACTGGGGAGACCTCCTCCTTCTGAAATCAATAACCAACTCTTTAATTAAAAAAAAATATCATCACACCAGCTGACAAAAGATTCAACCTCCGGTTTACAGGCCAGGTCATTGCCTCGGGTTAGTAGACCAACCAGAGCAGTGTCATGTGAGAACGTCTGGATGTTACAGGTCACATGGCTCTGCCTGTAGTCAGCTGTATGAAGTGAGAATAAAAGGGGGATAAAACTGTTCCCTGTGGTGCTCCAGTTTTAGTTAAGTTAGTGTCAGACAGTTTTTTATCAAGCCTGACAAACTGTGGTCGAGACAGAAGGTAATCCAAAACCCAAGCAACAGTTGTATTGTGCAGTTTAAAAGTCATACGTTTTTTAAAAGGTGCGGTTGGATTGTATTAAAAGCACTGGAAAAGTCAAAGAACATGATCCTAACAGAGCTGGCAGTTGTTGCAAGATGTATGAAGGTGTTGTGTGTCTGTGGTAGTGATGGTCTGATGTATGAAGGTGTTGTGTGTCTGTGGTAGTGATGGTCTGATGTATGAAGGTGTTGT